CCAATTGTTTAAAATGTGACTGTCCCAATGTTATTCAATGACCTAGTCCTTAAGAACTATGACGTTTTTTGGCAATGAATCTCAGGTGAGTGATTTATGGGCGTAATGGTTCTCCTGTTCATAGATACTATGTTTTTTCCGGTCTTGTATTTGTCTTTGAGGTTGCCATAGCCCCCAGCTTAGAAACAGTCAAGGGGGACATACAATTTCATTAGAAAAACAAAACGTGTTTATGTAAACAAATGAGGGACTAATTTGTAACCCCAAAAAAGGACAGCGAGTTGATTTTTTTATTTGTACAAAATTGTTCGTGATTTCAGACAAGGTGAAATAAGAAAAATGAAAGTTTTTTTTAATTAATAATCTATACTTCGGTGATATTTCATTCATTGCCAAAATGCATTGCCTTTATAATACATAATTAATATTTTTATTTTAACGGTTGCATCATTTACTTATTCATTGGTAGTAAATTTCAATCATTGCCAAAATGCATTGCCTTTAGAAAGCAGCACGCCTCCAGATTCCTTTCAATATTCATGAAAATTTTGAAAATGTATGAAAAAGTAAAATATTGTGAAGCTTACAAAGAAAATAACATGCACACTGCAAACGGCACTTACAACCCATGTAAATTACCAAAACGTGGTCAAAATATGCAAAATTGGCCCCTACTGTGTTAGTAACGCAGTAAAAAATATGTTGACAATTATTGAAAAATCGGCCATTTAATAATTAATATTAATAAGAAATGACCCGATCCGTTTAGCTGAGTAAGCAAGATAACGAGTATTTGAGGTTACTAATTCTATTCAGCTCACCCATGTCACTACAAATAATACACTGTAATACTGAGTATATGAATATATATGTTTTTTATTTGTTTGGGTCGTCAGACCAAACAAATAATGGTAGCGAAATTTCAGACCCTGATGCTGTTAATTGCAAACGCCGAAAGTAGTCCGCTTTTTTGAAGTGGTTACTTCCCTTTATATGTACACTAACGCCGAAAAATTCAGGGGAGATCACTGCGTTAAGATTGTCAAATGACAGGCGCATTAATTTTCAAGCAAAATAGTTCCCGAATGGTCGAAGATTTCTAATATTGTTTTATTCTTTATAGATATACATGCTTATAGTAAGCTCCATGATTATTTACATCTGTTTTAAACAACAGGTTTAGCGTCGAAATAATAAGAGTTACAAACCCTAATTTAAAATAATATGGTAATATGGTTTTCTTCATGCCCTTGACATATAACTTCACCGTGGCCGAGGGGTTTGCACGCTCGCTTAGGAATCGAGAGGTCTGGAGTTCAAATCCCAGTTGAGGCAACTCATTTATTTTTTTTTAAGTCAAATAAACATTGAATTGAATATCAGTGTTGCAATTAGTCTTATAGCCAATTTACTACAGTTAAAACACTGGAAAGCATTGGTGGCTCTATACAAAAACAAATTGGTTTATAATCTCTTTCACCTTTCTGACATTCTGAGACCCAAACAAATTCAGCGCCTTCTGTGCTTTGATTTATATAAATACTAATGATTATGTAACAATAATTGTTTGCTGTCAGAAGTGTAAATAGAATTCTTCAATTACCATTTTCATATCAATATTCATTTGATTTCGCATTGTTGACTCGTGAACGAAAAAAAGAATATTTTTAGGACAGTTTTTACTCTTGTTTGATTTTATCTTTTCCAACGCTAAATATTGACCCAGTCTCAAAACTTTCCGAACAACCCTCGTATGAAGAGGTTTACTTGCATTTACTGCATGGCAAATAATAATAAAATACTTGTGCCTGTGAGATAAAATCTATTAAATACACTGTTGGGATCTTGAAGTGATTAATATCTATGAGAATATGAATAATTTTATGGAAAGAAATATATAATACGATAGCTTTAGAAAGATTTTGCCACTTCCATTTGTCAGCTGTTTAATATACATGTATTACAATCTGGCTTTCCAAAGATACGTATCCTCAGAGGGTAATTATTTATTATGCGGGTAGTATTCGCTTTTCGTCAACATTTTTATATACTAGGTGTTTTAAGTATTTCTAGTGCTAGCATTAGATAGGTAGCCCATTGATGCAGTGACTATCAAACATGTTAATTTTACTAATGAATTTGCAGCCAAAGGTACGAAACGTAAATTGGTCTTAATATTGGCTATTATATATTTATATGGAAGTGATCCGAAGTTTTCTATATCACCTATGGATCTTTTTAGCACATATGAAGCTCGATTGAAATTTTTGGCCAGTGATTCCTTTATTTTAAGCCAAAGTTAAATAAATGTTTCAATAAGGATTAGCATCGTCCGGTAGTATGATTTCATAAAAACTGTATTTTGAGTCCGTTCAGTGACATTTTTTTATAAGTATTGCATGTTTTAAACGCGCCAGACCCACGACTGTCGAAGACTGCAAACAGGCACGGCCTTACTGACTCTCTGTACTAATCAAACTAAACCAATGAAAGCGAAAGATCCACTGGAAGACATATTTATCCACCGCTTCTGCGACAAAAGCTTCACCGCCGCAGCGATTGTTCCTTCAAAGATCACAATTGCATATACACATTAATTTGCATAAATAAAATAACGGTTTAACAAATAATATATCATTTCACAAAATTGATAAAATAAATTAAATTATGTACTGTGGTATAAGTTATGCCATATGTTAAAATTATGAAAAATCACAAATAAGATTGTGACTACTACAAGCCAAAACTGTTCATTTTATATTGCTGACTATAAAATTAACATAGATGTTAAGATATTATAAAGGAGGATAAAACAGTACCAGTATTTGGTAACAAAAATTAAATTAAATACAATGTTTTGTTGAGAATAAGGATAGACAGGTTATTTCCAGTGAGGTCCTATGAACCAAAATATGGAACAAGATGAAACCAGAGAGACCAGAAAAATAGATGATAAAAAAAATCTAACGTACAAATAATGTTAGCATTTCTAAAAAAGGGTTCCATAATAGTGTTTGTTAATGGAAATGGAAAATATGCTTGATAGTTTCACTAGATATATACTATATATAGCTAGCGTACAATCTTCTAAAACCAATTAAGAGCCCAGACATCGACCCCATCGAACATGATTAGGATATGAATTAATGTCCTTAGAGTATGTCGGAGTCCTTCCGGTTAAAAGGAAAAAAACCCGCATGTTTGCAATTAAGAAGCAGATTAACTTATTCCAGTGTCAAATTCAGCGGCGTCCATAGCTATTCGGACCAGAGTGCACCAGATGCTAATTATAAATGTGTTATGATATCAATATAAGTGACGTTAATTAATGCGGGATTAGGCGATTGAATTAGCTAGTAACTGTTGTCACCCGGTAAAAGTAAAAATAATGACTTTTTGTCTTTCTTTTTGTAAATGCATGCTAACAAAGTGATAACCGTGGAAAATATTATGGGCTGCATTTCTTTCTCTTTTTTTCTCCATGTGTACATATATTTGCTTCACCGTGCACAACTGTCAGAAGAATGAAATAAATAAGAAATTCAGTTGCTGTTTTAACATAATAGAGATTTTTATCTAAAAATATTTGACTAGCGCATTTTGACTGTATAATTCATCTTAAGCCATGCGGCACCGATGATTTGTGCATGTAGTTTGAATTTCCTTTTACTAAAATTTACATGAAAAGCCATTTTAAATAAAGCGCACGGTCAACATTCCAGCGGCATGGCCACGATCCTTTAGTGACATATTGTTTGTTTGTTATTTTTTAAGATGGTTAATGCACTATTTCACGTGCAGATGACGTGCATCTGAAGATGCGCGAGAGCACATTTAAAGCCCCGATCCCTCTGAATGTGCGACATTTATGAGCCGGGGTGGGGGTAATCAAACGGCCCGCATAGCTCAATCGGTTAGAGCGCGAGACTTATAATCACCACATTGTGGATTCGATTCCCGGGCTGGCCAACTAAAATTACTAATCAGTCTTTCGGATGAGACTTTTAATCGAGGTCCCGTGTATGATTGCATAAAACACTTGGCACGTTAAAGAACCAGGATAAGTTTCTGGAACTGGGGCATCTTTCTGTATCTGTAATTGCACTATCCTCAAAAATCTAAAAAGACTAATACTCTTCTGGAGGACTCGCGCCCATATGGGCAACCGGTGGCGAGTATAAATAAACGCAAATACACACACGTAATCAATCGGCACATAGATCTATTTAATTGTAGTATAGTAAATGAGCGCATGCAGCTTAAATTTTAAGATCGATGCTGCTCAGGCAGATTTCTCTGCAAAATCTGCTATTAAATCTGGTATAGTTCGTATGTTTTGTTTTGTTTTTGTTTTTTGTCCCATAATAAATGTAATATAACATTGACAAATCGGGAAAGACACCCGATTTATAGTGAGGCAGCTTAAACTATTCAAAACTAAAGATATTTTTAATAAGAATAATAAGCGACATTATTTTTGGAACATCCAATCCATTTTACATGTTATTTGGTCGTTGGTACTAGAATTTTGCCGTGCCTATTCCGCACAATGTTTGTACCGTATCTACATAAGGTACGGTAAACATACAGAATATAGTCAACCTATTATGTCGCGAAATATCCTTACAATTTGTAATTCATTACATTCTATGAAATGATTTCTTAAAATATATCTTTGACAAACAGTCTTACTAATAAGTTTACATTTTTAATTCATAAGGACTTTATTTTCCTTCTTTTTAAAAAGATTTAAATATAAAACTATAGAACTACAAATATTTACATGTTGTTATAAAAACTAAAAATCGTTTTGACGAATACAATTATGAACTGTTATTATAAAATCAGAAAAAAACTGTAACAAAATAGATAAACAACAAAATCATTCTGTCTAAGATTATAAAACTGGTAAAAAATAATATAACTAAAAAAATAAAGCAGATCAATATTGAAAAATTGCTTTTAAAATGTCTCTATTCTTCGTCTAAAATTGTTTTTGTAAAATAATTCTGAAGCGGGACAATTCGAAAGTTATTCCTGTCCGAACTTGACAAAAATCGAATTGTGTATTGGCTGAAAGTGTAAATACACAAAAGAATTCCATATGTGACATTTTTGTTGACATGGTTCAGATGGCGATAAATCTGTAGATTGAATAGATTTTCTTTTCTGTTACAGATACTGTAAAGAATTATTTTTGTCAAGTGTTAATATTTTATTTAATGATTTAGTGATTTACTTAATCAGTGTTAATTATCAAACAGTTTTAGATTAAAGGGGAAGGTTATTTGTTTTTCAATCATGACTGATGAACTATATGCGAAGAGAATACCTGTGGTGTTCAAGTCGTCTGACCGTGAAGATAGGTAAGTAAGTGCTTGAATACAGTGATCAAAATGCTTTGACTGCGCTTGCTTGAGTTATAGACATATATGTTCATAAGCTTTGCCTATTTCATATTATATAATATGAAATAGGCAAAGCTTATGAACGGGGAAGTTGTTAAAAACGTTTCTTTCATTTTTCTGTTGTAAAGGTGTCATTCCATGCACAGCTTCTGTTTTCACTCCGAACACTCGAAAATTATTATGAATCCGAGAAGTTGAGATTTGTTCTGTTATCGGAATACCATTGAGTTACATTGTAAATGGCGGTGGCCAACTATTTCTTTTAAATATACATGTGTAGTCTATAGCCTGGCAAGCCAAAGCCCAGGCACGCTGTCTTTGACTTCCCCGTATAATTTGTCCACCTAATTAGACTTGTCGAAAAGACATCAAAAGAATTTAAGAAGGGTTTGACAGTAAGCAAAAGACAGTCTGTAAAATGTGTCCTACCATTAACGCTGAATAATTTAGGATCAGATAAACATTACAGTTGTTTGACTGAACGATTTTCTTTAGACCGGGTGGTCCATGATAACTTACGTAAGTGCAAGCACTTATTTCCAGTAGGCCCTTATCTCAGCAGACTCAAGAGACAGCTATGAGATACAAGGGAATCTGGCTCTTTAATATTGAATAGACCCCTTCCACAGTTCTTTTACATGCCCACTGGTGTATAGCACTGATACATCATTACATGCAAGGATTACCTTGGTTTCTTACCAGTATATCTCTAGTTAGGTGGGAAACACTGAAAGTGTTTCTGAAAAATCCCAAGGGTGTTACCCAGGATCGAACCCCTAACCTCATGAGTGACAGTCAGTGGTCTAACCAACTGAGCTATTGCTACAAAGCTTTGCATTATCTGAATTTATTAAAAGAAAACATTATATTACCTTAAAACTAAGTGGAGAATGCACATAATTGATAAAGACACTCATATGATGACCCATACACTGTAATTTATATATAGATTGATTCATTTAATAGTTCAAGACTAGTCTAAAAAATCATTTGATCTACCAATTGATTTTTTTTTATTTCAGAAGGGCCTCTGTATCTATTAAGATGGAGTTGGCAACAGTGACTACACCAACAACAAGGAAGGTAAAGAATTTTGTAATGATCAAAACTTTCTATATTGGTAGAACAAAGTCATTTAGGTGAAGTGGGTACAGTTATTAACTACTTGTTAATATCTTTCACCTCTTGGTTGTTTGTTTAAAGGCCCATTATGCCCCAGAAATGCTTTCAATTTTATTTCTAAAAATCTTTATATTTTTGGTATTCTTTTAAAGTCTCCAACAAGTTACTAGTTGGCCTATTACCTGAACTGTCTTCTACTTCTGTTGCTTTTTGGCAATTAGTACAGTTTAAGTGATTTAGTATTTTGACTTCCATTCACTTACTGTTCATATTTTGCTACTTTTATGACATATTACATGTACTTGCATTTAGGGCTATTTTCTTCAGATAACAATCATCTTACATGCTTTAAAACCATTATTTTAATGTTATTGACAAGAAAATATTTATTCATATATGAGGTAAAATGTGCGTTTAATTCTATCATTTTTAAAGATATCCAGGTACATTACATTAATTGAACCGAGTGATTTCAATGACATACATGTCCTACTTAAGGTTTAAATAATGCAATAAAAAGTCTAAAATGCTTCTTTAAATTATTTTCACACAGCCTTAAAACTATTTTCCCACACAAAATGGATCTAAAACATACCAACATATTTGTTTACAGTTATTTAATATGCATAGAAGTAAAATTTGCAAGAAAACTGTAACCTAACAGTTGCTATGTTTCACTTGACACAGATATAAACGTCCTATTATCACAACCATTAACATGTAGCGAGTAGGACAGCTTAATGCAGGTAGAACTTACTATATAAATGTCTGTTTTAAACCAGTTTTATACCAAGATATGTTCTCCATTTTTGTCTCTTTTTCTTTATAATACATTGTGCAGCAATCAATTGCAGGATAAAAAAAACTTCCCAAGCACACAAATGCTCTACCCGCAACCGACTGATCTACTTGCAACCACTTTAGGGGTGTGTTCAAAATTAAAGTCAATATTTACAAAATAAAACATTGCAATGGCTTAAATTACAGCAAGATAAACATTTCAAATACTTCACTTAGATATTTTTTTCATCGGACAAGACATGTATTAATAATCTAGTTCCATATAAATGTACATGCCTATGGTGAAATTTTATCTTTTGATGGCATTATATTTCAAAAATGCCCAAACTATAATGTGCAGAACAGTAGCTTTAAAGGAGGAAATCCCCTTGTCATATAACCTTGTTCAATGTGAATGTCTTTGCAACTTTAAACCTGACAAATAGTATATTTACTCTGATAGTGGTATTACTGTTTTGTACATTGCAGAATCAGTTTCTTTTCTTTTTTTAAATACACGCAAGCCTATACTCGCACTCATCTATTTTGCATTGTATAGGAGCTGGTTGTGAGATTGACAGATGAGAAAGACCTGTTTTTTCTATATACCTTGAGGTTAGGTGAAGAGGATTTTCAGAGGTATGCTTTTATCTTTTTATGTTACCTATTTAAATACTGTGTCATGATATAAGGCTGAGGGGCCTGAGAGGCTTAGTGTTGAAGCTCATAGTCTTAAAATAACTTGCTTCTAACTGCTTTAGGGTTTAAAACCCACCGGAGACTTTGAATTCTATTACTGTTATTCTGGCTAATGCTTGAAATAATGCACAAATGCAACCAAGGTCTTCCTCTTCTCTGAAAAAAAGCCATTATAACCTTTTATATAGTGTTGCTGTGACAAGAAAGTTTACATGTAGTTGACAACATTAATAAATAAAGGCAACATTGATAACTATGTGCAAAGTTAATAAATATATTGATCAAGGTTTTATTGCTTCTTCATTGTAGATTAATTAAGAAAAGCCTACCAATTGATTTCACCTTACGTTTTATAATGAATGCACAGAACCTATTTTTGATGTGTCATGTTTATTACAACAATATGTATTGTAACTAGCTGATTGTATTTTCCAGCGGTTCTTTTGAATTGGGAAATTTTAGCATGCAGACCATAAGAAAATGATGGAAAATTTTTAGTTTAAAACTTTTTTTAAACATTCACTTGTTTCAAATAATAATTAATAAATGATAATTGTGAGTTTATCATGAAAAAAAATATTATGACTAAAATTTAGCTGATGGGAGAAATTTTGATTGTAATTGATGCTTATATTGACTTAATTTTAATTTCAGTTTGAAGATGCAGCAAGGCTTGTTGGTAGATTTTGGAGCTTTTCCACAGAAGTTTATAGATTTACTGGAGATGTGCTTGAAGGAAGAACACAAAGATATTCCAAAGTATGATAAAATTACTCTCAGATCATTAATTATATTGCCAGATAATTTTATTAAAAGTTAAAATTTATTATCATGTCCCTCTTGTCGGCATCTGCATTTTATTTTCTCAGAAAGTTTAAAAGCTATTTACAAACTTTGTATGCATGTTTATTGTCATAAAAAGATGCCATTTCAATAGGGCAATGTTTTGCTCCCTTTTCCATATTGATTTTATTTTACAACTTATATCCAACACTAAGAAAAGATGAGTGGACAGGTCTTGTTATCAATATTTTATATCAATATTATTCCATTTATAGATGATGTTTATTGTCAGTATTTCAAAGAATAGTGAGGCTGTCCTACTCACCTAGCTGTCTTCGCCAATGCCTGAATTACACTTAGTTGAGATCTTAATTGAAGTACAGAAGGGCATTAACTTTAGCATAGAGTTTGATATGATTATGTCCCTTTGTATTTTTGTCTACCAGTCAAATTGACACTTAAGGTATTTGATCTTGAGACACTGACAGTGATTATATGCTGAAGTTTTAAGAGGTTGTCATGAACTTATTACTTTAATACAGGCTATGTTTTATTTTTCTTAACTTTCTTTTAAAATACTGATTTTAAAACTTGAATTTTAAGCAGCATGCTGCAAGATTCATGCTTATTTGAATGAAAATGTATTAAAAAGCAAAATATTGTGAAGTGAAGAAAGAACGAAAAACATACATTGCAAATGGCATTAAATCCATTTAAATTACCAGGAATATGTCAAAATATTAAGAAAAAACCCTTACTGCGTTAGTAATGCAGTAGAAATTTGGTGATAAATACTGCAAAATCAGTCATTAATTGCAAATAACATGTTAATGATGCTATGTTGTAATGTTCAAAGGCAAGTCTTTGTTTTCATATTATGATACAAAAGTTACATAATAACTAATTTCAGTAAAACTTTATTATATCAAATAAATAACATTTATTCTATATATTTTCAGGTTTGTTCTTCATATAATAAGCCAGGGAAATTATAATGGTGACAGATCTACAGCCACTTTGAATATAGTGGAAACAAACCCGTTCAAACATTTAAACCACCTCTCTTTAAAGTTTGTACCCGGCTCAGATGCCGATGTGAAAAAATACCTTGCAGACTGCTTAAAACAGTTTAAGGTAAATTTCTTAAACTCTGTTATTTTAACTTGAAAAAAACAAAAAAAACTTCATGTCCCTGCCATTTTCACTTAAATTGAGAATTTTCATAATGTTGACCAAAAAGAAATTTGGAGAAAATAAACCAATCTAAATATATTGAAAAATTCACTCTTTTTGGCAGAAAATAATGCACATTCATAAATGCATAAACTGTGCTGTTTATGGGCAATATTCATAAAGCAGAATATTAGAAAATTTCAGCAGTTTTGTCTAGTAGGGAAAGGCCTTTATAATTTGCCTCTTTACTATACAAAACACTATTCGGCCAGTGTATACAATTCAGTGATATTTGATGCTAAACATTTGATGCTAAAGTCCAGTTTGAGACGTTATGGTCTTGGTTATTTACATTTTCATCTGCATTAATAACTATAAGTTATTCTCTTCAAACATATGGCATGGAGGCCAGTTCAAGACAAATAACTCTGTATGTATTCTAGTTAAGTATTTGACTACAATAGCAAACATGTATGTCACTATGCCAGTATTTCGTTCCAGATCACTCATACAAAGAACAAATGTTCTTTCTGGCTGGTTGAATGATTCATGCAGTAAATAGAGCAAAGTATATGTACATTTATATGATAAATAATAATTACAGGGTTCATACAGTCTTAAAATATGCTTAAATTTAAGTCCCTTTCTTAAAAATGAAAAAAGTGCTTATTAGTCCTTGAATTTGATTTGAATTTGATTGCTGTCATGAAAAGTGCTTAAAAAGTGCTTAAATTTGCTGCAAATTCGCTTGAAATTTATTGAATGACTTAATGTCTGAAAATCAACAGTTAAAAAAAACAAAGATCCAATACTAATACCAAAATCAATGAGCAATGATCAAAATTAAATTTGCTGGCCATACTAGAATAATTAAGTTGCTTATACATGTACATGAATACATATATAGAGGATATTGAATGGGTGTAAGTTCAATACTGAATTTATTGCACGAGTTGAATAAAATTATATTATGCGAGCCTCTGGGGAGCATAATATTATTTTATTCAACGAGTGCAATAAATTCAGTAATGAACTTACACGAATTTAATATTCTATTTATCACACACCCAAAATAAAGACCGTTTAAAGTGAAATAAGAGTCATTTTTCATTGACACGCCTATAGAATAATGCCATTTAGCGCGTCTTTACACTATATTTGTCAATCTCCTACGCAGTGATCTCCCCTTACAGGATAAGATCTCTGCCATCACAACATTTTCGTCAAGATTTTTGACGATATTATTTTTTCAATTTTTATAATTATTTTAAAAAGTAAACACAGTTTTGCTAATGTTTCAAGACCGATAGGTGTTAGATGTGAACTAAAATAAAAAATAATTTTGGAAACATAAATATTATGAAAATAATTTTTAAAAATTTTAATACCGCACCGTTTATTTACAAAACAATGACCCCTTTTGAAAGAGAAATCATTCAAGTAATTATTAATTTCGACTCTACGCTTTACAGAAATCAATTTTTTTCAATCATATCGACATATTTGAGACCAGAGTTAAAGTTTTAATGTCGCTGTTTACTATAGATAAAACATTTTTTCAACGATTTCATTGGCGTATACGCCATTTTTACACAATCATGTGATAAGACCATCATCACGTGATTTGTGTGAAGGCAGTGGTTACTGGCCGTAGCGTAATCAGTGCGCAGAGTTTGTATATTTGTATAACACTAATGACGTCACGTCAAAATATATGCACGGCCGTGCAATACCATATTTACGGAATCGCAAAATCTGCACGGGTGTGTGATAAATCAAAATATCACATTATGTACAATGTATGTTATTTAGTAGTCATGAATAAAGTTTCCAATGTTCTATACCTGTTTTAAAATTACTTTATTACTGGATACAAATGATTTATGTGCAACAAAATGTGCTTGCAGATATGGGAAAATGTGCTTAAAATGTGCTTAATTTTGGCATTGGATGTATGTAGGAACTCTAAATTAACATGTCTTTTAAAGCCTCTTGATTGCATTGCTTACAGTTGTGTTATATTACATACACAAAGATTGATTGTTTCTGTCTTCTAAAGGATACTTTACGGTGTTGACCTAGAATAATAAGAAAATGATTCATTTTTGTAGGAAACAAACAGTTTACTCCAGCAGAGGTTAGAGCACACAGATGCAGATTTAAATCACAGATTGAAAAATACACAAGAGGTATATACTGAAAGCTTTTACAAAATAAATACTTCAAAATAAGAGGAAAATGAAGAAATACAATACATCAACATTTGATTAAGGACATTACATCCAATGATCATTTGTCTCTCACTGCTCATTCAGAAATCATGTGTGATTAGTAGTAAGTCAATGGCAGAGAAAAAGATACTTAATTATTTGTTACCTTGGGAAGTAGGTTACAAGAATGGACTGCTGAGATATGACCAAAAATATATGTCAAAATCAGGGTAAAAACTAGAAAAACTAACTAAATCTAAGCTCAAAGAAAATTAAAAGCTCTATTAATACAGTTTTTGTTTGGTTTATTTCATAGTGATCTTCTGACTTAACAAAAAATAACTTTATTTACAGTTACTGAATTCCAAAACAATAGAATTGGACAACTTGAAGGCAGAGTGGACAGCTAAACTAAATGACCAGATAGCTAAGCATAAACAAGAAATAGCTATAGAAAAAGAACGTGCATATCAGGTAATGGTTATACAAAAAATTTAAATCTGTAACAAAGACTCAATCAAATTGGGAAAAATATTGATGGTTTTATTCCATAATTATAATATTACACAATAGTAATTAAGTTATTTAAATTTTCATGTATTATTATAGATAATTTATGATCATAGAATCAGCACAGAAAGTTTATTTCTCAATATTTGGTGCGCTATCAGTGAATTTGTTAATTTTCAGTGACTTAAGTATTGTTTTAGGACATGTTTAATTAAACATGATGAAAAACTTAAAATAAATAAGATTCCATGTGCGACAGTTTCATTGTGTTTGAAGCTAGTCATTTCTGAAAGTAGGAGGTATACTGATTTCCAGCTAGATACATTGTATGAATATAAAAGATATTAATAACAGAATCTCCCCCTTGTGACTGAGGAGCTGACTGAATGGGTTGAGGCATCAGAATTGCAGTCTTTGTTTATCCCTGTGTGATTGTAAGAGGTGACTAAAGGGTTTGAATTACTGTAGTCTCTCCAGCAGGTGACATGGTTTTAACCCCTGGTGTTGCTTTAAGTTTGTATCACCTGATGTTAGCCAAAATTTTCTTACTGTTTCGGCGGCATATGACCTTAATTGTGTTGGTGTGCCGTAAAACCAAACAAACAAAAAAAACAATCTAAAAGAAGCCTTTTGTCCTTAATTGATACAAGCTCCTGCTAGTGAATAGACTAAAGTATTATTGTAATCATTGAATCAAATTATAAAGTATTTGAGCCGTGTCATGACAAAACCAACGTAATGCGTTTGCGACCAGCATGGATCCAGACCAGCCTGCACATCCGCACAGTCTGATCTGGATCCATGCTGTTTGCTATCAGTTTCTCTATTTGTAATAGAGTTTGTAAGCAAACAGCAAGGATCCTGATCAGACTGGGCGGATGCGCAGGCTGGTCTGGATCCATGCTGGTCGCAAACGCATTATGTTGGTTTTGTTGTGACACAGCTCATTTGTGTATTATTGTGTCAGCTTCAGTCAGGTAGTCAGCAGAGACAGGAACAAGAGAGAAGAGAGATGGAACAATCTCACAATAAAATGGTTCAACAATTAGAGAGTAGATTATATGATGTAGAAACTGTTAATAAGGTACGTCATTCTTACATTTGTTTAGTTTAAACATTATTTAGTATAGAAAGCTTCTATGTGTAGGTTATAAAAATCAATCTTGAGTCCAATTTCTACTGGTGTCATAAACTGTTATTATCCCTGTAGAGCATATACACTAGATTTAGTGGCAGACCTTCAACCATTAGTACATTGCTTTGTGACAGGGACTTCATGCAGTTTCCTAAAATTATGACTTTAACTAGCTTTTTTACTTCCCAAATTAGCAATTTTACCAATAACTTTTCCCAAATTCAAGAGGCTATGGTCTCTTCCTAATTAAGTGAGAAAAATTACTGCCTGATACTCCACATGTTTGTTCAATTAGTAAAGATACAGACTTTTCACAATTTTCCACCCATTTTTAAATGACAAATGAAATAAGGGAGAACACTGTGAAATGTTTTTGCCAAAATGTAGGGGGAAAAAAAGACTTGTTACAGCTCATTCATATGAAATATTTTTTCTTTCAGGATCTTACAGAGAGAAGATATAAAAATGAGGCAACTATACGAGACCTGAAATCAAAACTCTCCACCATAGAGGAAGAAAACACACATCTAAAACAAGATGTTCAAAGTCTTCGGAAACAGAATTCTTCATTAGGTAAATTTATATGTACATGTATTGATATCATATTACTTAAATTAAAGGCCAATTATGCCCAAGAGATGCTTTTATTTTCTTATTTCTGGTGTACTTTTTTAGTCTACAGTGTACTTTTTTAGTTTACAATAAGTAACTCATTGGCAAATACCTGAACCATCTTTTTCTACTATTTGTTTTCACAACAAGTACAGTGGAAGTCATTATTCAACTATGTTTACATTTTCAGACTTTTATAACAAATTATTTTATTATTTAGCGCTACTTTCTTCATGTACAAGCATCTAGCATGCTCTAAAACCATTACATGTATTTAAATGTTTTGAAATTCATGTTTGCTTTTTCTAATGGAGTAAAAGTTTATTTGTTTACCAAAAATTAGTCACGATGCGGCTTTAACAAACATAATATTTTTAATATTTTACATCAATGTAATTTGTACAAAATATGCAGCTAAAAGAAGGGGTTCAATGTTGCCGACTTTAAATCATTTTAATCGCAACTCTTCGCGAGTCTTACTGCTTGAAAGACATTGATACCATGCAATTTTGCATCACATTATTTACTTTATGATTTTATCTTTTGGGTCCACGAATTTAAGTACCCATTAAAATGTTCTTTTGTGACAAAACTACGAAATTTCATACCCACGGAATTTAGAGAATTCACAGTAATAACGTAATCATAAAAGATATAATGATATTAAAAATTAGTTCTTTCTGTTCAATATTTTGTGCCGTATCATACTGTCACAATATTCATGTTTCATAATGAATATTCATGTTTCATGCTGCATATTAATGTTTCATAATGAATATTCATGTTTTTTAAGTTACCTTCTTCATTAATGTCTTTAAAGATATGATGTTAAATTATCTCACCATGATTATTTAACTAGATGCTGATTTCCACGAGCAAGAGAAGGTAATTAATCAACTTAGAATGAGAGTTGCTGTTCTTGAACAAGAAATCAAAGACAAGGAACAAGTTCTAACAAAATCATCTGACTTATTAGGTGCAGAACAAGATAAAAAGGTATGAATATTTCATCTTATAATTTTGACATTTTTTTAATTTAAATTTTTTTTTGTGTTTGGTACCTCTATTTACCCTTTAGCCTGTTTTTGACAACAGAATCTACCCATGTGACCAGTGCAGACAACAAATCCAAGTCATCTGATCATAATCTGCACTGTTCGCTATTCAGTCAGTACATGTTATGAAAAATTCCCACAGAAATATTGAATGGATTTGTCTAGATTGCATGTAGAGAAGTGTAAGGTTTTTTATTTATTATTAACAGATTGACAATTCATATTTTCGGTTAAAATACTGTTAAAATTGGTTTGTATTTAAGCCTGTAGACCTTGACCCTTTGGCAAAATCGGTGGTTTTTGTTAGCAGATAAAAATGAGGGTAATATTGCAAAAAAAAAAACCAAAAAACATTTATAAAATATTTCCCTTGACTGTTTTGCCGAATCAGTTGTTTTTGTTAACTGATAAAAATGAGGGTTATATTGAAAAAAAAAACAAAAAAAACTTTAAATATAACCATATAACCTTTCAGACATCTTTACCAAGAATTTATATTTTCTTTATTTGAGGAAAAAAAAACCCAGAAAATACTTGATAAATTGACAGCACATGTGTGTATAAATTATGTATACAATGTACATCACAATTATCCAATGAAAAGTGACGATACAAACAGGCTGTATTATATATATTTATAGAGACGATATGAAGATGACATCGATTCACAGAAGAAAGAGATCCATAAACTCAATAATAAAATGAAGGCTATGTCTGAAGAGCTGATGAAAGGAAATGAAATTATTAAAAAGCTGCAAAGTGAAATTAAAAATTACCATGGAAAAGTAAGTTTTAACAGTATATAATCAGAGCCGTCATCAATAGAAGCAAAATCAATATGTTACGGTTTAAAGCTGTTTACTATTTAGGGAAAATAATGTGTAAGCAGCCAAATAGCTCAATCGGTAAAGCTGCGCTACGGTATTCCAAGGGTTCCGGGTTCAAGTCATGGTCAGGCTGCTTATTTTTCTCACCCTGTGACATTTGGCGCCCAACAGGGGACCGTGACTAAATATAGTTCAGTTAAATTGACCTTGCTCTAACTTTGTAAAATTTGTGAATTTCAGTATAGCAGTGGAGTATGTCATGGTTCAAAACTGTTCACTATTTAGGGAAAAATAATTGTAAGCAGCCAAATAACTCAGTCGGTAAAGCCGCTGTACAGTATTCAAAGGGTTCCCTGTAACTAATAGTAATATATTGTCGAGAAAAAAAATTTCTGTCAGTCAATAATGGAAAATTTGCATAAAACATATACATAAGCAGAATTACATGTCTAACACTGCTGTTGTTACCTAATGGGCATATTTCATATCAATGACAAAAAATGATCAGAAAAAACAATCATGCAATGGGCAGGTCATAATTGTATGAATAGAATACAAATGTAATTATTTTTTTACTGAAATTATTTTAACAGGTATGAAAGTGAATTACAGACAAGTTAGGCGATTTTTTTTTTCAGAAAGAATAAATAGAATAATAAGGCTATTCTCATAGAGACTAATTTTTCAGTTTACAACATCAATATATATATAGTGAAAGAATGATATAAAATTCAATATCTTGTTTTAATATTTTCAGATTAAGTTAAGAACGCAGATTGCAACAGAACAAGAAAAACTTCTAAACGAAAAAGAGAACGAGCTTGAAAAAATACGACATGAGCTTGTAGCCTCTAAAGATGATCTCAGTCAAAAAACAGAACAGGTTTGCTCTAAAAAATTTAGTTCATTTGTTGTGATCAATCTAGCTTTTCTTCGAATTCTGACTTGTGACTGCTTATATGAACAATTTATATTATTGGTAGAATTAACCCTTAACCTGCTATATTTCTATAATGGATCTGTCCAGCTTTGAATTTGAAACAGTTCATTCAAAGTTCAAGGGATTTTAATATCAAAATACAAAAATTGAGCAGCCAACAGTTTAGAGCTTGGTCAGTCTGCATGGATAGCACTATACTGGTGGCAAAGGCTGATCACTTTGGTTCCAGCAGATTAAGGGTTAAGTATTTTAGGCAAGGGAATATTATCCCAGCCATGTAATACAATAAATTGTATGTGCCCTACGGGCTAAAAATGTATTGGTGGTCAAGATCATCTACCACATTGCTCAATAAAGAGAGCATCAGATTAGTAATGCAAGGGTCACTGGTTTGATCCTCAGACGAGGTGAAATTTCTAAATTGTTCTCAGACATCGAGTCTGATGTTCATTTGTCTTTCTATGCTGACTCAGAAATCATGTGGGATTAGTAGTTGGTTACTTGCAGAGAAAATGGTAATTACTGGTTAGTTATTCAGGAAAATCAGTGTAAAATTGATGTAAAAAAACAGAACGACAAACAAAACACAATATGCTCTTCACTATTGTAGATGAGATTCTTTTATCAAATGGTTGTTAAATCAACTTGGTGTATATCTATACCTGAAATAATGTACAAAGATGCAAATGTTTCATGTATCTAAGTTCTTTTCTCCAGTACATCGTATAAATTTGACAAATTTGATTTAACCTCGACAGTGTTACTTTACATGTATATTAAAACCTGACCACCATGCTATATAATGAAGTATTATGATATATTACTCAGAATAAAACTTTGAAAGAGAACTATGAAACCACTGTACAGAAACTAGAAGAATGCCGGGAACTACTGAAGACAAATGAAAATGGTCAGTTCTCGTCTTTATTATATTTATATACAATATTTGATACAACTTTGATAGACGTTATAATGTTGATACAACTAAGATAAAATTGAAATAGCTACATTAGAAAGAGAAAGTGGTATACGGTCCTGCTGCGAAAAAAGGGCTTTTATAGATTGTGTGCATAGTACTGATGTTTTCCTTGACATTTTCATTTAAACTTGATGTCAAACACACAATCACCACGCCATTCATTGTTTAGGTCGTTGACTTCAAATCACTTGCCCCTCACCGCTGTGGCTTAGAATCTAGGAAGGGACTTTGGATTCTTTCATGTAAGGAAGATATTCAACTAGCTTGCTCAATGCTGGTGGTTCTACTCAGATGCCTGAAATAATGCAGGGAAGGGCACCTAAGGTCTTCCTCCACCAGTTAAGGCTGGAAAGTTACCATATTACTCTGTGTTGGTGTGACATAAACCCTCTCTTCCCCCAAAATAAAAAGAGATTTTATTGATTTATGAAAAAAAAAATTGAACTTCAAGACTAAAAGAGGTTAATTTAGACACTACAGTCTAAACTACCAAAAAAATAGCCAATCAGTATTGCAACTCTTGCTGTCCTGTAGACAAGTGAAATAAGAGTTATTTCCCCTAGTTATAACTTTTTATTCATGTTTTAGTGATTCAATGGTTAAACAAACAGATCAACGAGACACAGTTACAGCATCAGAGAGTGGGAACATTTGAGATGCCAGGCTCAATGGGTAGCTTCAGACCGTCAGGGAATGCTCTTGTAAGTTGGATCTTTAAAAGTCATATTATGTTATACAGATTGAGTATTGACGGGAAATGGTTAAATTTATATTTGTGCTAAACAAGCATTGAAAGTCTTAAAAATCATTCATTCAAGGTTAAGAAATTACGTATTTTATTATTGTTAACTTTATAAAAAAATATAACTTTGCTCAAATAAGCTAAATCAAGTTTTACATAATTTTTTTCTACCTAAAATTGATGAAGATTGTTTTTATCATACATTAAGCTTAATTGAAATTTAGTTAAATGTGGATGTCAAAGATAAGTTAGAAAGTCATCATTCAGACAAATACTGACATAATATTATGTATTACCTTTTTAAAATATATATTGTTGTTTTTTGGAAGAAAATTAACAAAATGAAAACTGAAATTATTTCTATTCTACTTTTAACAAAAATACTATAAGTTTCAACTCCAACTTTTCATATACCAATGACAGGGATACCCATCTTTTAGCAAAGAAATAAACTTTGAGTGAAACTGGTATACCTTTCTATATACTAGGCAGTAAAAGTGTCTATATTAATTATTAATACATGGAATTCTTTAAAATTCAACAACTTATGACAAAAAAAGGTGAATGCTGTGATGATTTTTTATTTTATTACAGCACAACTACAGTACATCTAGTTATGGTTCAACCCAAATGTCCAGTCACACACAACCAGGGGGTGACAGAGGGATTGGTGTTGGTGTGCCCCGCCCATATCCAAACCAGCATAAAGCTCCACAGGTAAATGTAGAAACTATTTGATTAAAGTACCTGATAACTGTGTCAATAGAACTAAATGTAGATTTCAGCACTGTCAACCTAATGAACCAGTCATTTGCAACCCCAGCCCCAAACCCTAGCATATACTGGGCACTTGACTAGATGTTCAATTTGCTGGTAATAAACTCTGCTGCGACCATCAGATGGTAAAGTTATGCATTAAATGCCCACATAACTGAGAGTTTGATATATTCGTCATTATTTTGGAGCCAAAACAAAGCCAATTCAATGCATTGACAACTACCAATAGTGAAATTTACCCCAGTTATACCTCTCACTGCCCAGGCCCAGGGTGGCAGGGAATTGAGTACAATTGTCTAATGCATTAAGCTTTGTAGTTATATTTCAAGATAGAAGCATGCTAGACTAATTTTGAATACTGATTAGCTATCTATTAAGTCTCATAACATCCATATTATTTCTAACCAGGTTTTCAAAGAAAACTGGTTATTGTAATGAAGGAGTCGGCAGACTTCCACTCAATAACATGGGAGTGCTACCTAGGTGTCTGTGATAAAGGTCAAGGTCATGGTTTCTAAAAATATAAATTAGTGTTAACACTACATGCATTACTCTTCTTAGGATATTGGAACAAATGCCATGTAATATACTTTATTGTTAAGACTTCAGTACTTTGTATACCTACAGTACTTTTTATACCTTAATTTGTAAGTTTTATTTTAATGTTTTTTATTATTCAGGTTCAGTATAATCCTGGCCATCCTAAACGGAGTGGTCTGCCCATGCCAACCTCATTACGGAATGGAGCCCCGCCTATACCAGAAGAGATCCGACCAACCAGTAGTCGACACAGTTCACCGGGATCCAATCATTCAAATCATTCGGCTGGAGATAAAGAAAAGTAAGTCACACCTGCAGTTTGTTTTATTGAAATGATTAATTGCTCCCCTAGTGAGCAATGTATTAAGAGGCATTTAGATTTGTCCTCGTCAATTTATTGCTGTTTATAATCTGATAATATTTACAGCAATTTTAACTCGATAATTGCACTTTTAGAAGTTGCAAAATAAAATTAAATTGAACTACATGTTTGAATACATGTTGTACATTGTTTACTTGTTATCATGTAATCACTTATTGTATTATAAGGGATTTTTTCCTGTGTGTGACCTAGTCAAAATAATGCATTAGAAGCGATTTTCCTCTCGAGAAAAGTTCTCGATTATTTTTTGTTTAAAACGGTACTTGAAAATGTTATTAAGATTTAACATGTAATTGTTGTCACCAAGTTTTTAGTTTAATCAAATGAATCTACACAGAAGATGCAGTTTATAATATTTTGTAAATTAATGCAAATTTGAAATAATCTAGCAGTCTCTATTGATAGTATAGAAACTACCTGAGACTGGAGATTTAGGATGAAGTGACAACCACGTCCTGTTGAATTTAGAGAGAATTGATGCAGTTGAATCGCATCACATTGCACTAACACGTAAAGTAAAACTAAGGGATGCAGAACGGGGATTTTATTTTTATGTTGTAATGATATTAACAATATTTAACAGGTATATATGTCACATTAGGATGTACAGCACTATTTACCAGATATTTACAATATATTATTGTACAATTTATGTCATTTCTACAACGATTGTTTCAATACTATATCTTTTATTTAATTTATTTCAGTGATCCACCTCTAGATCCAAAATATTTGACAAAACGGGAAGATGCAATACCATTAAGGGGCGTGTCATCGACAAGAAGTGCCTCCCCTCCTGTAATACACTCGGGGCTAGGTACGCACATAAACTCTCGACTCAGCCAGCAACAAGTGGTCGTACCAAAAGCAATGCATTCTCAGCCGCCACCACTTGCCTCCGCATATTTTCCTGGACAGAAAGGATCCTGATGGGCTTACAAAATGATTTAGCAAAAAAGTCTGTTTTATTTTATACAATTCAAGGCAATACCTGATGATGGAAGTTGCACCGTGTCAGTCTCATGATAAAGTTAGGTGAGGCAGCATGTCATGTCGAGTTAAAGCTTAAAGGTTCAGTACTCAGCAACTTTGTTAGATATAGAGTTATTGTTTCTGCTGATGTCAGCATTATTTATAAGAGAAACTTGCTTGAACGATATTTTTGTGCTGTGAAAGTGTCAAAAACATAAGCAATATTGTTAATGATTTGTTGACTGAGTAATTGACAATGTGCCGTCCTATTTAAGTGCAGTATACAGGTGTTCTGACATTTTAAATTTTTTTATCAAAATTAGTTGCAATCTCCTTATATATTAGTTATTATTCTATTTGAATTTTCATCTAATTGTTTATATGAGACACAGGTTAAAACAGCAGTGTCTCCTTTCTTCTGTAAGGTTTTATAGACAAAGTTTTTCAATCCAGCTTAATCTTGATGTGATGGTAATGTAATCTTAAAAAGAAATAGAGCACAACACACATCTTCTCCCCCACTACCTAGCACAAACACCATGATAAGTACCTTAAGTAGATCGACACCACAAAGATTGCTGAAGGTCTGTGGTTCTACCCAGATATGCAATGAAGAAGAAGAACTTTTATTTGTAGAAAAAATTCGGAAAATCACTTATATTCTTTGCAGTGTGCACTTCATAATTTCCTAAAGAGAAACCTAACTTACTTGATCTTCCTCAGGGAAATGGCTGTTACAGTGTTTGATACTGTTGTGTGTGACTTAACAAAATTATAAATATCAAATATTGCACGTAATCAGGTCAGCAGTTCTAGCTATGTCTCAATTTTACTACAGTTTTACTACAGAGATAACAATTATTAGATGCATTTGCGAATTTACGTGCCACTTAACTCATTTTTTATTTATTTAGACATAATTATGACCAATTTAACATTGTCTATTTCAGAGACTATTCTTGTTAATGGCTATTTAAACTGAATTGTTTTAAGAGATTAAATAAAGTAGATTCAATTAATATCAAATGTGGGATATTTTATAAGAAGTGAGTTTCCTTTTTCTATAAATGAGCAGTGAAATGGTCCTGTATTTATGTATTTAAATCAATATGTTAACATTATTGTTTTGTTGTCATTATGTTTTGTTGCCAATTATATCATGTGAAATGAAATTCTATATAAAAATTGATGTTAATATATAAAAGTTTTGGTTTTATTTTTCCTCTTTTTTGCTTTACTATTTTTAGAATATTTATGTTGGCATAATTCTATGTAAGGCCTATTAAACCCCTGCATGCTATCTTTTTATTTCTCAAAAACTTTTTGTTTTTGGTATCTTGTTACAGTTTCCAAAAAACGTTACTTCATTGGCCATTCAGATGAAATATTTTTCATATCAACTCCCATATATTAAGTAATAATATGACAAGACTCCTGACTTTAGCATCAATATTTCTTTAAAAATAGAAGTTTTTTGTTCAGTAACTTTTCAAAAATATGTTTATTGTCGAGACCTTTATCATATGTGATGATATTTATAAATAACTCTAGCTCCTGTTTTGACAGAATTATCTTATCATCTGTCTCATCAGTTTCCTTCAAATTTGACAGGGACACATCATAGGGAGATTTTTGACAGAGTTATGTCCCTTTTAACTTTCAAAAAAATATAATTTTCAGTTTCTGTTCATTATCTTCCCAACAGTTGTACACATTCAACTCAAATTTAATATATCGATTTGTCATAGGAATACGCAGGTCAAGTTCGAATTTAGTCATGGTTTCGATGAGTTTTGACGAGTTATCCATATAGGAGGCCTTGCCAAGTGATAATTCTGGTGGCAGCGTTAATGGGAGCATACACAAGTTCTAATAGGCTACACGTACAGAACTATTATCGCATCAACTTACCGCACTATGCTACTGTACAGGGGAAGTTATGGTAATTGCATTGAATTACTTTGAAAAAAAGAAGAAGAAATTTTCAGTTTCCGTTCATTATATCCCCCAACAGTTGTACTTATTCAACTGAAATATGACATATAGATACATCATAGGAATGCTCAGGTCAAGTTTGAATTTGGTCATGGTTCGATGATTTTGGACAGAGTTATTCCCCTTGAACGTTGGAAAAAAATTGAAATTTTCAGTTTCCGTGTTATTTTGTAGAAATGTATGTATAAGGTTGAAATCGCATTTGCAGGTATTCAACCAGAAAATACAAGTCGAGTTCGAATAAGGTTTTGGTCCGATGATTTTTGACAAAGTTATCCTTCTTTAACTTAGAAAAAAAAGAACTCCAACTTTTGTAGGAATGTTTGTCCGAGGTTGACATAGCATGTGCTGGTATTTTACCAGATAATACAAGTTAAGTTCTAATTTTGTCATGGCCAGATGATTTTTGACAGTTATTCCCCTGGAACTTGGAAAAGATTTAAAAATTCACAATGAGATGCCGCCGTTGGAATAATATAATAACCGAGACTGAACCAAGACATGTTACATCCTGATTTATGTCTATATAAACATATTGCACTGCCAAGACAATGCTGGTGGCAGCGTTAATCGCAGCATACACAAATGCAAGTAGTTCTAATAGGCCTACATTTACAGAACTATTTCCCCAGCATCAACTTACCGCGTTGTGCTACTGTACTGTACAGGGGAAGTAATGGGTTGCCGGGAGTTTGCTTAACTAGTGGACATTTGATAGGCTGGCTATTGCATTGTATTAATTTTGGAGTGTCATTATTTGTCACATTCTACGTCTCAGTCTTTTCAAAACATGGATATACCTTCCACGCAAATTGTTGAACTAAATTCTAGGTAAAAATGTATTTTGATCAAAGACATACTTACGTTAAATAATGTGTTGAAAATCACATAAAGTAACAGATAGCAAGCCCATCTGTACTGTCCATTTTGATATCTTCAACCTGTCCGTGTACATTGTATGAAGTTTGAACATGTCGCAAGTGCCTTGTATAGTTATTTAAGTTTCGTTTTAAAAAGTCATTTCTGGTGGCATGTTCTTGATTTGTACTGAATGTCTGAAAGTTTCTGGTGAAATGTTCTTGATGTGTACACAACAGTGTCTGAACGTTTGTAGTGACATGTTCTTGGTTTGCACTCAATAGTGCCATAACGTTTCTGGTGACATGTTATTGGTTTGCACTCAATAGTGCCATAACGTTTCTGGTGACATGTTATTGGTTTGCACTCAATAGTGCCAAAACGTTTCTGGTGACATGTTATTGGTTTGCACTCAATAGTGCCATAACGTTTCTGGTGACATGTTATTGGTTTGCACTCAATAGTGCCATTAACGTTTCTGGTGACATGTTATTGGTTTGCACTCATAGTGCCATAACGTTTCTGGTGACATGTTCTTGGTTTGCACTCAATAGTGCCATAACGTTTCTGGTGACATGTTATTGGTTTGCACTCAATAGTGCCATAACGTTTCTGGTGACATGTTATTGGTTTGCACTCAATAGTGCCATAACGTTTCTGGTGACATGTTCTTGGTTTGCACTCAATAGTGCCATAACGTTTCTGGTGACGTGTTCTTGGTTTGCACTCAATAGTGTCATAGTTTCTGGTGACATGTTCTTGGTTTGCATTCAGTAGTGTCATAAAGTTTCTGGTGACATGTTCTTGGTTTGCACTCAATAGTGTCATAGTTTCTGGTGACATGTTCTTGGTTTGCACTCAGTAGTGTCATAAAGTTTCTGGTGACATGTTCTTGGTTTGCACTCAGTAGTGTCATAAAGTTTCTAGTGACGTGTTCTTGGTTTATACTGAATACTGTCATAAAGTTTCTGGTGACGTGTTCTTGGTTTGCACTCAATAGTGTCATAAAGTTTCTGGTGACATGTTCTTGGTTTGCACTCAATAGTGCCATAAAGTTTCTGGTGACATGTTATTGGTTTGCACTCAATAGTGTCATAAAGTTTCTGGTGACGTGTTCTTGGTTTGCACTCAATAGTGCCATAAAGTTTCTGGTGACGTGTTCTTGGTTTGCACTCAATAGTGTCATAAAGTTTCTGGTGACATGTTCTTGGTTTGCACTCAATAGTGCCATAAAGTTTCTGGTGACGTGTTCTTGGTTTGCACTCAATAGTGTCATAAAGTTTCTGGTGACGTGTTCTTGGTTTGCACTCAATAGTGCCATAAAGTTTCTGGTGACATGTCTTGGTTTGTACTGAATAGTGTCTAAACGTTTCTGGTGACATGTTCTTGGTTTGCACTCAGTAGTGTCATAAAGTTTCTGGTGACATGTCTTGGTTTGTACTGAATAGTGTCTAAACGTTTCTGGTGACATGTTCTTGGTTTGCACTCAGTAGTGTCATAAAGTTTCTGGTGACATGTCTTGGTTTGTACTGAATACTGTCACAAAGTTTCTGGTGACATGTTTTTGGTTTGCACTCAGTAGTGTCATAAAGTTTCTGGTGACGTGTTCTTGGTTTGTACTGAATAGTGTCTAAACGTTTCTGGTGACATGTTTTTGGTTTGCACTCAGTAGTGTCATAAAGTTTCTGGTGACGTGTTCTTGGTTTATACTGAATAGTGTCTAAACGTTTCTGGTGACATGTTCTTGGTTTGCACTCAGTAGTGTCATAAAGTTTCTGGTGACATGTCTTGGTTTGTACTGAATAGTGTCTAAACGTTTCTGGTGACATGTTCTTGGTTTGCACTCAGTAGTGTCATAAAGTTTCTGGTGACGTGTTCTTGGTTTGTACTGAATAGTGTCTAAACGTTTCTGGTGACATGTTCTTGGTTTGCACTCAGTATTGTCATAAAGTTTCTGGTGACATGTCTTGGTTTGTACTGAATAGTGTCTAAACGTTTCTGGTGACATGTGTTACGTAGTGAGTAAATAAAGTACTAGCGTTGTGTTTTTAAACAGTTTATTTAAGTTTTAGTTCACTCTAGATTTCTAAGCCTTCTCTCCGCTAATGACCGTTCTGTCATGAGAGTATATATAGAGAGGTTAATTGACAAGTAGAAAAACCACATATCTCAGTAATTTCATACACCTGCATTTTGTTTATGCCATACGTTATTAATGATACAAATAAAATATTGAAATTTACAGTTATTGGTTATTTGTTGTGATATATTCGTGATGAAATATTCGAATCACTACAACATTTCAAGTGTTGAATGTAATATCAAATAAATTACAATGTAAGCCAACTTATACATGAACATTAAATACCAATCAAGTACAATAAACATCATACGATGCTTAGATAGACAATTCAAATGTCAAAATCTACTTGTTTCAGTTCCAATATAAACGACATATACCTTATCTGTATATACATGTATAACAACTCTTAAAATAGATAGTATATGTATGTATCTATAGAAGTTAAAATAATTGTAGCACATATGATTAAAAGTATCAACTAACTGATTAAAATAATTAATTAATTAATATACATGTAAAAGTGTGGTCTCCTAGTTGACTATGTGATTTGTACTCAAAAGTGTCTGAACGTTTCTGGTGAGGTGTTCTTGGTTTGTACTCAATAGTGTCTGAACGTTTCTGGTGACATGTTCTTGGTTTGTACTCAATAGTGTCTGAACGTTTCTGGTGACATGTTCTTGGTTTGTACTCAATAGTGTCAGAACGTTTCTGTTGACATGTTCTTGGTTTGTACTCAATAGTGTCAGAACGTTTCTGTTGACATGTTCTTGGTTTGTACTGAATATTGTCTGAACGTTTCTGGTGACATGTTCTTCGTTTGTACTAAATGATGTCTGAAAGTTTTAGTGACATTTTCTTTGTTTGTATGCAGTAGTGTCTGAAGGTCTTTAGTGACATGTTCTTGGTTTGTTCTCAATAATGTCTGAATGTTTCTGCTGACATGTTCTTGGTTTGTACTCAATAATGTCTGAATGTTTCTGCTGACATGTTCTTGGTTTGTTCTTAATAATGTCTGAATGTTTCTGCTGACATGTTCTTGGTTTGTACTAAATGTTGTCTG